GATTCAAAAATCTCCTCAATAATGTTATGCCTCACACCACCAGTTTTGTGACCTTTGGAGATGGTGCTAAAGGTGAAGTCAAAGGAGTTGGTAATTTAGACTGCCCTGGAGTTCCAAGTCTGAATAAAGTACTGCTGGTAAAAGGGCTGACTGCTAATATCATTAGTATAAGTCAATTATGTGATCTAGGATTCAAGGTCAACTTCTCAAGATCTGAATGTCTAGTAATTAATGAAAAACTAGAAGTTGTAATGAGAGGAATCAGATCCAAAGATAACTGCTACTTGTGGCAGCATGAGAACACTGATATCTCCACTATGTGTCCAATTATCAAAGAAGAAAAAGAGATGAAACTGTGGCAGCATAAGCTTGGTCCTTTTCATATAAGAAGAATGAAAAGAGTTATTTCTATGGAAGCAGTCAGAAGAACTCCAAAACTACAGGTTGATAATATCTGTGATGTGGCAAATAAACTTGAAGAAGGATGTGTTGTCAGAACCATAAGTCATCTTGACAAGGATGTTGGAAATAACAAGTCTAATAAATTATGTTTCCCTGAAGAAATGAGGCTTGAAGTCTCCTCTCCTATAACTCTCCATCAAAATGGACTGGACAAACAAAAAATTATTCAAGAATCAACCAGAACTATGATTCATATCAAAAGAATGCCTTCCCAATTCTGTGCGGAAATAGTTGCTGCTAGGAAAAACTGTTCTCAAAACATCTGGTCAAAACAGATGCTCCCTGAGTACAATGTCACACAAGATGTTGTGACATTGTGTTGTGACAATCTGAATACAATCAACATTTCCTTGAACCCTATTGACTTTGAAGAGAAGAAGTCATTTAAACTGGAACATAGTTTCTCTAAGCTTCAGCTGACTGATTCTTCTACCAAGGCTCTTGTTGGAAATAAACTTGAAAATTTGAGGGGCAGGTTGGGTATTCACCAACATAAGAAATTATAGCAATTAATTTTGCTTAAAACAAAGGTTGAAGGAATTAATTTTATTAAGTCTATCTTTAGTGGGTTAATCATATACTTTCACAATTCTTTCAAAATCTTTAAGAAGTTGAAAAGACTCCCTTTTACCCCTACCTCTCTCGTCCTTGCAACCTGTTTCCTCCTCTCAATCAAAGATTTTTCTCAAACTGCTACCATTACTCAAAGTCAATCAAAATGTCTCAGACATCGTCTTCAACCATGGCGACTTCGTCATCCTCATCATCGTCATCATCTGACCAAGACTCTAGGGCAATCACCACATGCATAGAATCTGAAGTTCTTGAGGTCACTCCTCTCAGAGAGATGGCAACTGATCCAGGCAAAGTCAAAAAGCTCAGAACCAGACATGCAGGAAGAGCTCAAGCTACAGCCTCTGGTAATTCTTCTCATCCTTCTTCTTCTGTACCAAATAGAGAAGGATCAGTTCAAGTTCATCAAGCTATTGCTAGGCTGGTTACTAGTATACTGAGTGGAAACCAATCTGTACCGGGGATTTCTGTCCCTTTAAATCAATCAGAAAGTCCAAATGTGGAAGTTTCTGAGAATGTAGATGTCACTGAGAATGTTGTGACACAAAAAGACAACATTCAGAACCCTTCAGAAAAGGCTGTTGATCCACCTATCATTGATGTGGATGAGGATTACTCAGATAATGATCTGATTGCTAATGTGAACCCTAGCATAGCTAGGAGATTGATGAAAAGAAAAAGTAGTCAGAATGATAAACCTAATGCTAAGAAATCCAAGGCTGAAGGCATGGCTGAGAAAAGTATTCAGACAAAAGGGAAGAAGGCCCAGGTGCATACTGCTAGACAACCAATCTCTAAGAAGAGAAAAGAACCTGAATCTTCTGATTCTGATGAGGAATCAGAATTTGAGATTGATATTGAAGAAACTCCTATCAGAAGGAAGCTCCCCTCCAGCAAAATTGCTAGAGTGCCTGAAGTCCCAACAGACAATATCTCTTTTCATCATCCTGACAATGCAAACAGATGGAAGTATGTTTGCTTAAAGAGAATAGCCTTAGAGAGAGAACTCAACAATGATGCCTTGGAGTGCAAAGACATCATGGACCTGATCAAGAATGCTGGACTAATGAAGACAATGATAAAATTTAACAAATGTTATGAAAATCTGGTCAAGGAGTTTGTAGTGAACTTGTCTAATGATTGTGCTGATGGAAGGTCAGCTGACTTTGAAAGTGTTTTTGTTAGAGGAAGAAGGGTCAAGTTCTCTCCATCAGAAATCAACAAGTTTCTTGGAAGAACAAATGAGGATTGTCCTGATCTGGAGGCAACTGACAATGAAGTTTGTCAAACCATCACATCCAGGCAAGTAAAGTGCTGGCCCTTGAAAGGCAAGCTTAATGCCAGTAAACTCAGCATGAAATTTGCCATCTTGCATAAAATAGGTGCAGCCAACTGGGTGCCTACAAATCATAAATCAACTATCTCCACAGGATTAGGGAGATTTATTTATGCTGTCGGAACCAAGACTGCTTTTGACTATGGCAGGTACATCTTTGAACAAACTTTAAAGCATGCTGGCAGTTATGCTGTCAAAGGACCAATTGCCTTTCCCTCCCTCCTTTGTGGAATCATCCTTGCACAATATCCTGATATCCTTGTGGCAAGAGATACAGTCTGCAAAAGAGCTCCTGCCCTTGGCTTGCACTACAAACTGTTTCAGGGATCTCATGCTCCAGACATTGTCATAACATCAGCTGAGACATCGTCTGTGAAGACCCAGTCCAAGACATCAGATGTCATAGCTGTTTTAAAAGAAACTTGCAAAGAGCTGGATGCTAGAAAAAGGACCCTAGAAATTCTAATTGCCAGGCTAGAAAAGGAGGAAGCTGAAGAAAATAGAAGGGAAGAAGGTGTAGAAGCTGAAGGTCATCTCAACATTGAAGAAACTAGCTCCTCTGAGTCTGATGACAGTGCTTGAAGGTTGGTTGCTGTTTGGTGGTGTTGCTGGTTGGTGTTGATATCTGGTGGAGTTTGGAAGTGTGTTCAGTTCTTTTTTTTGCTGCTACTCTTATTAATTGTTTTTGGATAATTGTATAATCACTATGAACATGTATCTTTGGCCCATTTGTGGCTAAAGAGGGGGAGAATATTTTGGTACTTAATATGTACTTGCTCAATTAGACATTCTATTTTTCTGCAGTCATTTATTTCTGCTGCTATCTATCTCTGATTGTTTAGGGTCTTTAGCCAAAAATCTGCCAAAGGGGGAGTTTGTAGTTGTTTAGGTATTGGCTTGCATTTTTGGTAAAACCCAAGTGTATGTGTGAATGTCATGACTGATGTCATAACATTCTAGTTTAGTTTGTACTGACTCATTAGGTACCTTTGCAGAAAAATATTGTAATTCAAGTACTGATGTTTATAAGTGTGTATCTGAGCATTTTGCAAAATGATCACATTTTGCTAAATCAGTAGACAGGTTTTCTCAGATGTCATAACAGATGTTATGACATCCTGTTCTAAACTAACAGGTTTGCAGGTTGGATAAGTCTGAGTTTTTTCAGGAAAATAACTCAGTCTTTCCTGAACAGAATCCTGCGTTTTCTGAGGGGTAACCTAGCTCAACCCTAACCTGGTTAATAAAGTCCTGTGACCTGGTCTTTAGGTCAAACGGAATTAACCCTAGGTTTTTGTGGAAACCCTAACTGAAGTTGCAGCTGCTATATATTCAACAGAGCTGCTGTTTTGCAAGGCATCCCTTTTATTGATCAGAAGATCATTTGTAATCTGTATAGGTTTGATTATTGTACTCCAAGCAATTATCATTGTGATAAGTGACTTGGAATAGGTTTCTAATTGTAAGGGTTGTGTAGCACTCAAAGCTTTGAAGCAAGAGTGTTTGAATGTTCCTTGACTAAAGCTGTGAAGCAGAGTCAAGTTAGTTGTGTGGATCACTCAAAGCTGTGAAGCAAGAGTGATTGTGTTGCTTGATTAAAAAGCTGTGAAGCTTAATCAAGTGTTTGTTTTTGAAGAGTGTCTTCATCAATTCTTAAGTCAAATTATGTTATGTATCACTGCTGTGATTGAGGGGGAGTGAGTAGGAACTCAGGTTTAAGTTGTACTTAGATTGGAATTGCATTGGGTAGGTCTTAAGTGAAGGAGATAAACTGGTTGGTTTATTCCTGAATTAACATCTCTTATAGTGGATTTCCTCCCTGGCTTGGTATCCCCCAGAGTAGGTGTTGTTGCACACTGAACTGGGTAAACAATTGACTGTGTTCTTTATTGCTTTTGTATTTACTGTCATATAGTAAGTCAGATACGGTGTCATAACATTAAACGTGACATTGAGTATCTGCAGCCAGAATTTCACAACCCACTTGGGCCGGGCAAGCACTCGAATAGGCGTAGCCGCCCAAAATGGGCTTAGACCGCCCGAACCAAATTACATTTCCCGTCCGCGTAATGAACGTGGGCAATGACATTTCTAAACAGTAACTAACCAGAGAGATCAGTAAATGGAAGAAAATCGTCACCCCAATGATTCAAGAAAGAACAAATCCTCTATTTACGACATTTTCTGATGATGGAGTTAGGAAAACCACCCTCTAACTCTTTAGTCTAAACCTAATTTTTTTTTATATAAACCAACATTTTCAAAATAAAAGAGAGATCTCAATTTCTATACAAAAACATAATCTCTCACAATCCTACACGAAAGAACCTTATCTTTAATATTCATATAGTGTTACACAAACAAATAATAATGTTTTTTATTATACTTTTAACAACTACAATATCATTCGGTTAATTTAAAAAGTCAAAATTAAACTAAAAATATTTCATATACTTTTCTCCCGTATGCATATTAAAAAAAACATATATTTAAATGGATATAAAACAATCTACACACTAAAAAAATGAGATTTTAATGGAATGCCAACTAGTTGAATAATGATGTGTTTAATTATAAAAAAACTACACACAGGTAGCATTACGTCTACCATCTACGTGTCAGTTTATCAATGGCTTACACCCTTCCATCTCTTCGTCTCTTCAACCCCTCCGGATCGCACCTCACCTTCTCAAGCACAAAACTTAGCGCCACTTTACACGCGGCTTCTTTCTCGAACCAAACGAGTCGAGTCACTTCTAACTCAATGAGTCAACCCGCCGCCATGGATTCTAGCACTCTGTCGACACCTGAAGTTGCTCCGTCACCGCCAGATAACGCCAATGTTGTGGTCCAGTACGTGGTGCTCCGGCGAGACCTGATCGATACTTGGCCATTAGGCAGTGTGGTCACTCAAGGTTGTCACGCTTCTGTTTCCGCTGTTTGGTCTAACAAAGACGATCCCGTCACGATTGATTATTGCAGCCCCGATAAAATCGATTCTATGCACAAAGTAAGGTTTTTGTTTTCTCTCTTTTTCTTCTTTTGTTAATCAATGTGGGTTTCTAGGTTGTGAAATCTGTTTAATTTTTGGGTTTCTAGTTCAAAACACTAAGAATGTCGATATAGTTCATTTGTGATATCTCTAGCACGGATACCTCTTGAAAAATATTTGAAAATTGTTTCTGACATTAACACTTGTGATTATCTTTAATTTTTTTTAAAAATTATTACTAGTGTCATCGCGTCAGTGTCGTGTTTGAATATCAGCAACGAGACTTGGTACAAAGCGAATTAGATTAGTAACGAGACTTGCTATTAATTAGTCTATTGAATGTTTAGCCTTCTATAAGACAGATTAGTGGGTTGTGATATCCTCATTATATATGTCTAACTAGTCATTATTACTTGCATATCATTTGAAGAAACGGCAGATCTAATTGCAAATTGTGTGTGTCTGTGTATTATAGGAGTAGCTTATTGTCACATAAACTATCTCTAAGGTTTAGGTTTATCCAACCTGACAACCAGCTAATCAGTATATCAGTGGTGGAGAACAAAATGTTCTGATAGATAAAGATCTAACTTTCAGTTAAAAAGGGTCGTGCATTCTCTTTTATTATATATGTTTTATAACTTTCATGACATGACTATGAATGCATGATCATTGCATGTTAATTTTTATTCGGAGGTCGACTATGAAAGCGGTCTATCTATTACAATGTGTGATAGAGCAATATTAAATGGATCAATAATGTTGGTGCACAAGGTTAATAAATGAAAGAAAGGTAAGAGAAAATATATTTACTGCAATGACGGTTAGAAAGTTTACAAAAAGAATGATACAAATGATTACTACTATTAATCTATTTATACACAAAGTAAACTGTCACGTAGACCCTAATAAAAGGTAAATTTAATGACTAAGTTAAAAAGTACAAACTTGGAAATACTAAATTTTACAGCTACGCTAATAAATTCAAAACCCAGAACCCAGAGCTAAGCATACTTCTGTGCGTAATATCAGAAGCTTCTGTTTTTGACTAATAACAACTTCTGATTACATCAAACTACCGCTTCTAACTAAACAGTCTCAGAAGCTTACAACTTCTGACTAACAGCCTCAGAAGCTCAACTGCTTCTGAGCAACAACATCTTCTGAACATGAATTACTTCCAACAAACAACACTTACAGGTTTGCAGAAGGCCGTAAAGAAGAAAATGGTTAGGATTGCCCATATTTGAGCTATCCAAGATAAGCATGAAGGGGATATCAACTAGTGTGCGGACACATGGTAGAGAGACAGACGATTTCTCCATTACAATAGAAATGCAATAAGGTTCAACCCTAAGTCCTTGCCTTTTCACTTTAATTTTGGATTTATTCACAAAACACATCAACCCTTGCTTTTTCACTTTAATTTTGGATTTATTCACAAAACACACCAACCCTTGCTTTTTCCCTTCAATTTTGGGTTTATTCACAAAGCACATCAAAGAGTTAGCACCGAGATGTATGTTTTTTGTAGATGATATAGTCCTACTTGAAGAGTCAACGAAGGATTTAAATGAGAGGTTGGAGACTTGAAGACAAATTTTAGAAACTTATGGCTTTTTCTTAAGCATATGTAAGATAGACGGTATGAAATGTAAGTTTTTGCAAAAGGAGAAAAGTGTTTTTAACCTAGGGATGAAAGTTGAAGATTATATCATACCATAAGTCAAAGTTTAAATATCTTGGGTCCGTAATACAAAATGATGGAGAAATAAAAGAGGATGTAAACCATCGAAATCAAGGTAGATGGTTGAAATGTTGGAGGGTTTCAGGGTTTTATGTGACACAAATACCGCTAAAGTGAAGGAAATTTTTTAATTGGATAGAACTGCGATGTTGTACGAGATAGAAGGGTTGCGGAAATGAGGATGTTGCATTGGATGTTTGGTAAGATTAGACATAATAAGATTAGACATAATAAGATTAAAAATGATAATATTAGAGAGAGTGTTGGAGTAGCACCTGTAATAGAAAAGATGGTGAAACATAGACTTAGGTGGTTTGGTCGTATAGAAAGAAGACCCGAGAATTCTACTGTAAGGAAAGTAGATCAGACGGAGAGGAATCAAACGACTAGATAAGAAAGATATTGAGATTAGCAAAATTGATAGATTATTATGGTGTAATTTTGATCCATGTAGCTGATCCAATTTAGAGTGATATTGCTTTTTGTTGTTGTTGTCCTTACTTTTGGGCTCTGCCTAACTTTTGAGTTTGCTTTTCTTATGCTAAACACCTCAACATCCTTTTGTCTGCCATTCCTAGAATTTAGATATTTTGATCATGACATGTACAAATATAGAGTTCATGTGATGAAATTTTCAAGTTGAAAGCAGAAATATGAAGTTCGTATTTGCAGATATGCTATACATGTTTATAAGATTTCATGTTTCTTGCTCGAACATTTTTATCTTCAGTAGGCTGTTAATGTATCATGTAGTGTATATCTGTGCACAAATGCATGTGTAATTTCTATGCAAGGGCTCTAATTGATCTTTTCAGCATAGCATCTGGTTTATGAGCTAACTGGTTACTGAACTTAAACTTTAGGTCACACTTGAAGTGAAAGGAGAACCCCAAATCAAAAACTTGTCTGAGAAGCTGAAAGCTGGTGGTATCATTCACAAACTCTGGATTGAAGAACCTGAAAACATTCCTACTTGCCTTGCCACAAAACCTTACCCTAAGTCAATTGTATCTTCATATTTTAAGAAGTTGAAACTCTGCAAGTGATCTTATACTTGACATTACTTTCTCTCTTCCTGAACTATGTTGTTTTAGATTTCTCATTCTTTGCCTTTTCTCCTAAAAAGAACCAAAAGCTTCAAATTGAGCTCGTCATTGGCAAGGACATTAACACTCAACCTGATTTTTCTACCATTAATTCTCTGCCTTTTCTGTTACGATTTATTAAATTTTTTAGGAACTTTCGGATTATTTAACTCCATGTTAGACTCATTATGTTGGTTGAAGATATCTTAACTTCTATGATGTAATTGGACAAGTCAATTGTTGTTTTACAGGTTTGCATTTAGTTATTTGATTTCCTAGAAGAAAAAGCAGTCCTGTTTATTTTTAGAATCCTCCATATTTTCCAAATTAATATAGTTATGTAAACTGCTAATGTAAAATTGTTACATGTGATTATTGATGGACAAAATCATATGTTTGGCTTCTGCAATCTGTATTTTGTAAAATTATTACAGGTGATTAGTGTGTGTCAGTCTTTAAAAGTGTACAAAATGGACTACAACAAACATGATCTCTAAAAACTTAAGACAGTCCTGACTAAACTCATATCATAGATCTTTTTATGACTCTGTACATGGAAAACAGTAAATGAAAACCAAAAAGAAAGGCGTGAGTAATAGCTTTTTCCTTGGCTGATGATGAATGATGGCTAGGGCTACTTGACCAAGAGTTTTCTGGAACACACGGTGCAATAGTGCCTGCGTTTGATCTTGTGGTACAAAGGTAGGAAACAGAAATTCCAGTGGCTTTCCACTTCCACAGCTTGTATCATCCCTCCACAATAAGGACACGGCCCTGGTGCTGCCTGCCTTGACACCACTTGTTCATCCTTTCCACACACAAACACTAAACACATCTTCCTTGTCAACCCTTCTTTCGTCCTTGTACCTTTCTATTACTTGTTATGTCTTGCTTAAATAACTGTCGTGAATACTCTTAATCAGAGGTTGGAACCTTAATAATTTGTATGATCAGAACTATATATAGCGTCTAAGAAAAGAAAGGAAAAGAGGAAAGAGAGAATATAAGATAAAGGTTCCAGTAGTTCTAGAAGAGACGAGAATAACCTATACTCATATTCGTCATACACTAAGAAAAGCTACCGCGTTGCGCTTATTGAGAAAACTCCACTCTACTTTTCTTGTTATTCATTTTTTTTCTCTGCCCCATCCTTTTCCTCGCACGATCATGCCCCACATATGTTGGACTAAATAAATATTTACTCAGCAATTATGACTTGTATTTATAGATTTTAAATTTTAATTAACATGTGTAATTATTTAATAAAATATAAAATTTTCCACATTGTAGTATATAGTTTTTAGGTGGTTGAGAAGACATAGTTATTCACTACTAGGGATATCAACTTGCATCCACTAGTGAAGTTCTTCGCGGGAATTTTTTATTTGGGATCTTAAATATGGAGAATTTTTCTCCACGAAAATGGAGAATAAAATTTACTAGAAGGTATTTTGGAGATGGGGATGACGAACATATTCTCGTTTCGTGGAGTCTCCGCCGCACACTAGAATACCATGATATCGTTAATTAATATATAATTTAATATTTCTATGTAAGTTTTTTAGTCATTTCAAATAGGTTGTTTTATAAAATGTAAAATACATATGTAATGTTAGTAAAAGAGAGATATCTAAATGATTATTTTAATTTTTTTTAAGTTTGAAAATTTGGTGTTCATGAATCTCAAAATTAAATATTGTTAAAACAATATATTTATAATAGATGATTAGTTTATTAATTTTTTGTGGTTAATTTTTGAATTTTTTCTATTAATTTAGTTAAAAATTGTTCTGGACTGGGCCGGGCTGGCCCAATAGCAACGATAAAGGCCCAATCCAAACGGACTTGCTAGGGGTCACGCCGACCTAAGGACCATAGCTATGCCCGACATATGTCTCTGGACAACATCCCCGTCCTCGTGCTATCCAGCTCGACCTCAGCTCGAGCACTTCTTCAGCAGCGGACACGGTCCACTGCACTCTCAACGGGGCCCCGAAAAGACCGCGTCCTTGTCCGTCCGCACTTCACGCATGATATCCAGGAAGGGGACCACGTGCGGGTCCCCACTACGCACGTAGAACCTGGCAGTTCCTCCATTGGGCCTATTTACAGTGATTTCTGGTAAACAACCGCTAGTCCTCCAAACTATCGAATAATCTTAATGACTGTTATTCAATCTCTCTGGTAACTCGCAGGATCGACTAGATTGATCCTAGGATGTATTGGTCATTTAGATAACTCTCATTATAGAACTGGTATTCATGGTTGGTATTTAGAATGTTGTGTAGGTGTTTAACTTACTTCGATTACTCTATTAAAGATCTAAAGGTGTGATCAAGTAAATGCGCGTGAAACTAAATTGCATGAATAAAGTTCAATTGTAAAGACATATAAAACTGCAGAAAAGACAAGTAAATGACTTCGAAGTATAAAAACAAGTAATGTAAAAGATTCTCTGGAATGTAAAGGATTCGAAATATGAAGAAAGCGTTTAAATGCAAGAAAACAGTAAAATGACTTTAAGTGAAAAAAGGTGTTCGAATGATAAAAGCTTGAAGATAAAGGCATGAAATGTGCAAAAGTTTCTGAAATGTAAAGTATTTGAAATGGAAAGAAAACATTTAAATGTAAAGCATCAATAAAAAGATTTCGAATGAAAATGTTTTAATGCAAAGGCTTTTGAATGGTATTGACATGAAGATAGAGGAAAATACTGGAAATGATAAAGAGTTTTATTAAATCATAAACACTTGGTGTTATCATACGTACATTGCTCGTGCATTCGTTTCCCTAGCCATGTGGTATTTTGAATGTTTACTGAGTTTTTTGTACAATAGATATGACACACGAAATCCTAATGCTAAGACTTCTATTTATACTACTTCGACCATAACGGTCTTGCTATAAGATTCTGCCACGTTCAGAACATGCAGAGCAATGCCTCTCTCTAGCTTCCACGCGTCTTCGAATGCTCCAGCGCATATATTTTAAATTTCGAACATCCCGCTTGCATTTGAATTTCAAATGTTTTGGCACTTCTTCGCTTCGAACGCATTTCTTGGACATAGCCTTGTTATCACCTCGAGACTACTTTTAAAGATATCCTCATAACTGCCACTCGAAGCTCCAAGCTTTGATATGCCCATTCGAAGCACTGCTTCTACCATTTCGAAACATGACATTTTGCTTTATTCCAATCGAAACATCCAACTTGCTTTGCTTCGAATAATATCATCAAAATCTTTAGCCAACAAAATGCCCCTTTAAAATATGTATTTCGATTCCTTTGAGAAATACTTATTTTAAACTTATACACAAGATTTTGATGCGACCTTCGAATCATCGTAACATTTATTGCATATGACTTCAGTCACGTCAATCACAACGCTTTTCAGATTCCTTAACCGCCTTGAACCATTTCACAGCATGGTGCAGTTACAAAACAATGATTATCATTTAATCACGCCTATTACCAATATTAACTTTACGCCACCTCCTTCTCAAACTAACCCACGACTACCACGTATCACAATCTTACTCAGTGGATGTTTAAACTTCCATACTATAAAAACCCATCAACTTAGTCTTTTCTTTTCTTCCCACATTCTGAATCTTTTCTTCCTCTTTTCTCACCGAAACCCTAAACTTCCAACATTCTTCCAACAATGTCTTCTTCAACTTCATCTCAACTGAAAAAAGCTTCCAAAAAGAAAGGAAAGAACACATGAACCATAATGGAAAGCAAGGTTGGCACCTACCAAGGTCAATCGGTTCTTATTCCTCAGATGATCTCAAAAGAGAAGGAAATGCTTTATGCATCCCAAGTACTAATTCCTACTAACGCCGCTGGCAAGAGGTTAGCTTTAATGGGCCCTCTTACAGTCTTTGAAATCTTAAAAGACACCAGAAAAATTTTCCCTGTTTGTTATAATTTTAAACCTCTGTTTAATAAAATGGATACCCTTAAGACAGTAGAGTCTTCTGATTCGACCACCGTGGAAAATCCAATCATTCCCCCTAAGGACCCTTTTGTGCTAGATTATGTAAAGAGTAACTTCAAACCATTTCGATCTTGCCCCACCTCCGACACAGCTTATCACAACTGGTTTACTAAGGTAGAAGCTAAGAAATCCCAGCAATGGGAAGAATTAGGTATTTATAACTTGATTAAACTATCGAAACCAGGCTTTACCTATAACCACCCATTATTATTCGCGTCCTTATATTTCTGGGACAGTACTTACAATACTTTCCATCTCCCTGGTGGAATGATTACACCCACCTTTTTTGACATAGCAACCATTACTGGGTTATCACCAATAGGAGAAACCTATATTCCTGACAATGAAGAGCATTCGAGTATTATTGACTTCGAAGTCAAGCTAGCTAGCTTTTCAAAGTTCATCAGCCACTATCACACTGAAGGTGACAGTGTGTCAGATGTAGAACACATTGCTTTCCTTACCTTATGGTTGTCAAGGTATGTCTTTTGCAGTAGATCCCTACAGGTAGCTAGTAGGTTTATTCCTCTAGCTAGAGATTTGCATGAGAATCGGAGGGTGTGTTTAAGCGAACTGCTATTAGTTGATCTTTACGAAAGTCTAAGGTCAGCTGTTTCGAGTTTGAAATCTCACACCTCCAAAAACATCCTGCTAGCTGGCCCTTTCTGGTTACTCCAGTTATGGCTTAATGCCATGTTCGAACCTTCACTATCAACTGCCAACACTATTGCTGAACAAGACCCAGAAATAGCGGATAGAATCATCGAAGGCACTAGGCTGCGAAGACTTACCCCAAACGATGATAAGGATGACTTCAAAGTTATCTTCTCAAAATATATCATGATTTTCTCCAAGAGGCATAAATTCGAAGAGACCATGGCGCCTTTTGCTTCAAGGACTCATGGACCCTCATGGTTCATCATGGCTCTCTCAGAAGCAGTCAAAAGCAAAGAAATTCAA